ATTTTGTTGTTTTATGTGTGGTTGTGTGTGTGTGTGTGTGTGTGTGTGTGTGTGTGTGTGTGTGTGTGTGTGTGTGTGTGGTGAAACAAATTGAATCTTTTTTCTCTCTGTAGGACGATACATACACAGAAAGCTACATCAGCACAATTGGTGTGGACTTCAAAATACGGACCATAGAACTAGATGGAAAGACCATAAAACTTCAGATTGTACGTAACACACCATTTGTCAAGTGTTCAGTGTTTACTGGAAATTTGTGTCAGTTGAAAATTGTTTATAGTAGTATTTCCCAAACTTAATTCAACCAAGGTACCTTTGTCCTCACAATAAAATGTAGGAAAAATAAAATGGTAATCTCATCTCGATTTACTCAAAATTATACTTAATTAGTGTGAACTCTGGGCTTATTTAACACAAAACTAGTATACTCACAGAAAGCCATGAATTATATGATTCTATGTCCCTGGCATAAGTAGATGAACAAAGATATGTTTCTGTACGGTAATTAATAAATCATATTTTTAAGACAAATGAAGTAAAATTGGATGCCATAGTTTCCCGTGAATAATAAGCTATTTTTTGCAAAACAAAAAAAGATCCGAAATTTTTCCCCCTGTTGTTCAAAAATGCACAATTTTAAGATTTTATAAAAGTTTACCAGTACCCAGAGGTTGTTCAATGAATACATAACTAAATAAAAAGGCTTACCTACATTTCAACATTATGTTGGAATGTAGGTAAGCCGTGTAAGTCGAATGTTACAAATTGAACTAATAGAAAATGTATATATTATAATAAGTCGTCTGGTGTTGTTGCGGCCATTTCATTTTTTGTTGGTGGTGCGGTGACAGCAGGACAGCTAAATAACAGCTTAGTTTCCTTATACTGGACCTTCTTATTATTTACCTTATTGATGTTCTTCTCGTCACTGGTTAGTTGATGAAAAGTAAATACATATTCTGTGCTCGTATCCTGTAGTTAGTCCATATGGTCATGTGTCACTTAGACACATTAGCCTGTTAGCATTGGCCGCAAGACATTCATGGGTACTTACTGTGTGCACTGAAGGGCACGTCGTTGACTGTTTGGATACTGTAGAGCAGGGGGCCGCCACAAATGAATTTTGGCTGCTACTATTGGATTTTGGACGACCTGTCATTATGGAACTCTTGTAATAACTTCCGTTGTTACACAGTACCTCATGTAAAAGTACCCCAAAAGCACCATGCTACTTGCATATCAAGCATATAGCGTATGTAGTTCTGCTGTCCCTGAGCATGCTTAAAGCTGTTTCATGACACTCTTGTTGGGGTTGACTGTAAAACGAAACACACAACAAAAACAATGACATCGATTGTATATTTAAATTCAAAGCATGCGTCATTTGTAAAACATTTCAAGTGTGAATGCTAAAGGCAATATAATATCTCATTCAAATGCTAATGGAAATTAGCTACGACTTCAGGAATGATATGCCTTCAAATAACAAATATTCACACACTAACGCTGTGAAAGCACATATTTACACAATTAAGATATTATTGTCACACACTAACGCTGTGAAAGCACATATTTACACAAGATATTATTGGAGTATGTTCTTATTTACTTTCATGCTACTTTATTTTGTCATTGTCCTTTCAAGTCTTATTTAAAGTTGAGATTTCAAGCATTCAGGAAATGTTCTTTCCTCAAAGTTCAAGGATATAAAGACTGTTTTTGTCATACGAACACACCATTTCCACATGACATAACATGCAATGCAATCACAGAGATCCCCTATTAGCCTAGCCCAGGGGTGGGCAAACTTTTTAGCTCGGGGGCCATATTGATTTCTAAATTTGACAGGTGGGCCGGGTCAGCACAAGATATGGTACATATAAAAAAACGTATATGTTGACAATCCATACCAAACATCAACAGAACAAAAGCATTCAAGTATTACCATACTTTTTTTCATGAGAACAGTGAGATAACTATGGTATATGTCCGGTATGAACGTCCAAGTACGGTATGTTAACAACATACACTGGTGACAACACAAGCAACAAAGTGCAACAATAGATTGTCCAAAAACTGCGGCATACAGTACAGGTACAGTATATGAGAAAATATAACAAACGTAGGACTATTTGCTCCACTCACTCACTGTCTCGAACTCGCCCTCCCCTCGATCCCCACACAAGACAGCGTTGCTCAGCTGATACAGTCAAGCCATTTCAGGAAACGTTCATTTACTGGACTGTCCGTCGAGCCGCAAGCAATTCACTCCGAGCATGGAAATAGCCCGAATCGGGCTGAGCAAGAATCGCTTCCTCGTTTTTCAAAGTCTCGTAGATTTGAGTCTTCCAGACTCCAAGCGTCTCCTGAATGTTTCGTACTTCGTAACCTACTTTGTTTAATGAGATACACTTCATTTTCTTTTCCGCGGCCATTACCGCTCCTCTTTGTTTGGATGCCATGCTCTAATAAAGGATGTAAAAATGTTCGCAATTCCAGTAAAACTCACTGCAACAAAGAGTCGCTTGCATGTCGCCGTTTTGGATCCAATGACAGAAAATAGCGGTGGGGATAATCTATTTCGTCGTATCGAGCGCGACTTACTTGAGTTAGTGCTACTCCGGGCTTCCGTATCGTCTCCCCTCCCTCCTTGTGCTCTGCGACTTCAAGTAACTGCGTCACCTGGCGTTTAAATGCCTGTATTACAAGTCCAAATGAAATGAATGCAATAATTTACATCGAACCTTAATTGTGTACTGTACCAACCTTCGGCGGGCCGGATTAAAAAGACCAACGGGCCGGATCCGGCCCGCGGGCCGTAGTTTGCCCATGTCTGGCCTAGCCGTTCCAATACTTTTGGAGGGGACTGAATGTATCACAACAAGCAACAGTTCTTGCTTTATTAAACCGGTTAAAAAGAAAAAAAAATTGGAAAAAAAAGACGACCTCCTTCACACACACTCTTTAGTGTCTCTCACACACTCTTTAGTGTCACACACACGCGCGCAAACACGCACATTTTTACCATGTCAACATGAAACAAACCAGCGGAGACAGCGACTTCGACAAATTCAAAAATTTTTTTTTTTTACCTTTGACAGTGGGATACAGCAGGTCAAGAAAGGTTTCGTACCATCACTTCCAGTTACTACCGAGGCGCTCACGGTATCATTGTAGTGTATGATGTCACAGATCAGGTAAGTTTAAACGCCACAGCATTTCTTTCTTTGAAACTCTCAAGTTATTCTGTTTGATTTCGCTATTTAATAAAATGTCTCATTTTTTTGTGGCTCTAATGTAGTGCAGATGTGGTTAGAACCAAGTCAACGAATATTCTCTTATTAGGAGGATAAGTGGGACAAAGAATGGATGGATGGGTGAATCGTTAGCAGATAGAGCTGTGTGATATTCCGATGTATCGGGCCACTTCTCTCCTATTGCGTACTGTGGTACTGTACCTCTACTTACGAAATTAATTGTTTCTGGAAGAAATTTCTTAACTAGAAAATATGGTAAATCGAGACGCGTTTTCCATGTAAATGCCCTAATCCGTTCCAAGCCCCCCCCCCCAAAATTCAGACATAAATGTTTTCTAAAGCATGAAAATGCACAACATTATATAACAAATACATGTTACAATTAGATTATTGCACAATAAATGAGTAGTGCATAATGTAAAAAAAACCAAAGAATTGAGTAAAGAATAAAAATGATGGTCATTTAACTTTTAACTACGTCCTCACTGTTTTTTGTCCTCTTTAGTTCATGTTCTTTCTCAGAAGTGGTTTTTGCCTGCCGTTTGTAAAGAACTGATCCAAGGACATTTGCTTTTGTCTGCTTTTTTAACAATCCTTTGAAAATGTCCAAGGCAAACATCAGCAGAGTGAGCGACCGCCCGACTGGTGAACACTTTATGGGTGATTCACATTTACATAAAACTATCGGAACGCCTCATGGCCCGAGGTGCGAATGACGAGGACGCTGCATCGACATATCTATTTATCTATCTACACACATAGACATACGGTAGAGATCCCTCTTAGCCAATGGGATGCCAGGAAGTGCTCGTTAATAGCCAATGGCAGAGCAGCTATACATATGTTGCGTTCACGAAACCCGGAGATGCGAGAAGCAGTTGAGACGTTTCGTAACTTGAAAATTTCGTATGATGAAACGCTCGTAAGTAGTGGTACCACTGTTCATGGAGCAAAGTAAGTGCTGTTTGTAGGGTATTAATTAATTAATCTCTGAAACTCAAAATATGTTCTGGTCCAATTAAACCAAGTTTGAACTTTATGGCCATGATTCCAAAACTTATGTTTGGCAGCAACACAACACAACACAGCTCATCACCAAAAGATCATCATACCTACGGTGAAGCGTGGCGGTGGGAATTAGGAACAGTTGCTAATACCAGTTAATGTGAGCACAAAACCTTCAGGCTTTTGCTCGAAAGTGACAAAAAATGTCAGAGAAAGCTTAATTGTATTTCCGAAATTGATTAGGGGTTAATGACTCACCTAATATGGTGGCAGTTTTCATCTGACTCCCATTTAGCATAATTTTGAATGGATTAATGATGGTGGTCATCTCAATACTGCCACATTCCCAAATAAACTTATCACTTATGTCCGTCTAAATTGTAGGTCACATTACTGGTGTAAAAAGTCTGGAAATTGATATATATATATATATATATATATATATATATATATATATGACCTGGGGGGTGTAGACCTTTTATATTCATTTTCCCATTTTTAGTTAGTTTAATAAATTGATGTACTGTATGTATGTGTATACTCAATCGTCCTTTTTGACCTCACAGGAGTCCTTCAACAATGTCAAACAATGGCTACAGGAGATTGACCGCTATGCCAGTGAAAATGTCAACAAGTTGTTGGTCGGCAACAAGTGTGACCTGACGACAAAGAAGGTGGTGGATTACACAACAGCAAAGGTAAGGCCACACCATGTTTCATAACAACAGTGTTGCTGATGATAAAGCAAGTTTATTAAAGTGCTCATGGTTCAGCACCCGAGGATTTGGGTATTTGCCGATTTTGTTTTATATAATAATATTTGGAATATTTTTGTTTGTTTGTGTTTTTGGGGGCGCAGTTGTAATAGAATTATGTGATTTCAAGAGTAACGCTATTTCTGAATAGCTACTGGATGGATTTAGCTAAAATTTACCAGGGTTATAAGAGTTTTGGAATCTTCATTATAGTTAGTTTTTGTGTTATTTATTTATTGTTTTTCCTTTTTATTTAGTTTGTTTTAATAAAGTCAACACGGTGGTAACTGGTTAGCATGTCCGCCTCACAGACAGAGGGTTCAAATTCGGGCTCCGGCCTCTCTGCTGCTTGGAGTTTTCATGTTCTCCCTGTACCTGCATGTTTTTTCTCCGGGTACTCCGGTTTCCTCCCACATTCCAAAAACATGCATGGTGGATTAATTGAGCACTGTAAATTGTCCATAGGTGTGATTGTGAGTGTGAATGTTTGTTCGTCTGTGTGTGCCCTGCGATTGGCCGGCGACGAGTTCAGGGTGTACGCCGCCAACTTCCCAAAGACAGCTGGGATAGGCTCCAGCACACCTGCGACCCTCGTTAGAATAAGTGAAATAGAAAATCGACAGATGGATAGTTTTCAGAGCGGTGTGGTTAATTTTTCATTTTTTTCAACTATGCTTTTATTCAGATGAGTTTTTATTAGTTTTAGTATTTTTTTTTAAATTGTGTGTAAGATATTTTTCTAGGGTTTTTTTTGGATAATTTTTTTTCAATTATGTGTTCATTATTTCATGAGTTTTTGTCTTGAAACAAAACTTTACTTCATGGTTTTTACATTAAGATGTTAAAAAAACTTTAAGACACAGCATATGTTTTGAAGCCACCCACTTTTCAAGTGAATAAAAGTATTGGAAAGTGATTGATAGGTGTTCCAAGCTACTCAGGAGTTCTGTTTGTAGCCTGTTCAATTGATTGCTGAAACGTTGTGTGACTATTCATTATTTGAAGGATTATCAGTCGCAGAAGTCAATGCTAAATTCCTGTCAATGGGATTTTGCATTGGCTTTCACGTTATCACTGGTGATGTTTTGAAAACAAAGCATGTCTTGGATTTCAATTTACAAGTGTAGTTGTTTTTGTTGCATGTTTAATTTAACAGTAAACACCAACCAGGAATTAGAGCAAGTCTCATCTACTTGCAAAATCACTCATTTCTGTGTTCAATTACTCTTGGATATTAACAGTTGCTATTCTTTCGTTTATTCAAAACAAAAGAGAAACGAAACAAACAAACAAAATAATGACTTGTTTTCTCAATAGTCATTCAAGAAAACCAAAATGAAAAAAAAAAAACATAACGCCTGCCTATGCTGGATGTCTCCTTTCTTGTGTCCAGGAGTTCGCTGACTCTCTGGGTATCCCGTTCTTGGAAACCAGTGCCAAGAATGCCACAAATGTGGAGCAGGCCTTCATGACCATGGCTGCAGAAATTAAAAAGAGAATGGGCCCTGGGGCCGCAGCCGGTGGTGGCGAGAAGCCCAATGTGAAGCTGACACCTGGCACTACCGTCAAGCCTTCATCGGGAGGTTGCTGCTGAGAACCAAACGACAGCCCCTCCCGCTCACCTGCCCTCGATTCTGCAGGCCCGTGCGCCTGGCTGCCATCTTCCTTGAAACTCAAGACCACAATCCGACAGGGTAGGGCTGACACGAGTCACATGTTTATGTGAGAACAAGATGAAGTTGCCTGTATTTGTACAATAATGTAGCACACTACCAAAAACAAATAAAGCATTCGTCTTGTCACCCTATGCTGGTATTGATGACAAATTGTACAAAAGGTGATCATTTCACCTTACCTGGCCCAATCACCTTTGTCGCTGTCTGCTGAGCGTCATTTCATTAATGAGAATTTTGTGTATGTGTGCGTGTGTGTATCACTGCATTCCATTTGGGGTTTGGTAACAATCTGTTTCATGAAGTCTTCTTTTTTTTTGTATGCCCCCTTTTCTCTTGTTTCGGCTTCCTTTTAGTAATTTCATTCCTAGTGTGTTCTCTCTTGATATGAAGGGTTTTTTTTTTGTTTTTAATTCAGTAGCCACAGAAATGTCTCACCATTCAACATTTCAGCTGTAATACTTATCGACCTAAACAAGTGTAAATGAAAACACACACAGAAAAAAAAAAAACTCTTACCTACTTGTGCAGGTGTGTGTCTACATGTAAATCTCCCTCAACTTGGGTCCTCGAACAGAATGTTGGGAGATTGAGAAAATTGCACAGTATCTTCATTGTTCGTAGTAGGAGTTGAGGTAACACTAGTCGACAAGGCCCCAGATATTTGACAGAACCCTCAAACTTGCCACTCGGAGAGGACCTGTGCCCGAAGAAGTCACATCGATCCCTTGGGTGAGAGGGAGATTGTTTTTCTATGTGTGTCTATGTATCCATCTCTCTCTCTCACACACACACGCACACATTACTTAGACTATATGTCAGATCTCATGTCCATTTAATAGTCCTCAATGCATTAAGATTGTCTTGATTCAACGTGTAATACTTAAACTGAAAATAAATATTGTACTCCCAGACTGTATAAAAATGAAAAAAGATCCGTATGTGATTCTTGCTGAGATGCATTGTAAAGAATATACACAAAACAATTATTTATTCTACATTTGGGGAAATTTGACAGTTACATAAGAGAAATGTTTGCAAACTGTTGTGTATTGTGGTAAGTGCAGAGTTGCATATAAATACAATGTTCTCTTGTTTTCATAATAAAGGCAACTGAATTCAGTTTGAAAGACGCTCTGGGAATCTACGTGTCTAATATTTTCAAAAAGGCTGATGGAACAGGGTTTTGTACCACCTGACTACATGAAAGCTTCAAATGCTGTCCAGGTTGTGAGTGAAAATTGTTTATTTGGATGAACAAGTATAACATTAGAAAAACAGACAAAGCATACACTTTGAAAAACGTAACTTATTGGCTTGTACGTAATAGTATTGCCACAAATGAGGATGACCTTTGAGTAATGACACAAAATTAATCTCTTTCTGCCATTTACTCAGTGCATCAACAAAAGATATCACAGGGCTTTTCCCAAAACATTTTTTTCTACAATTTACATGTTGGATTAAAAAATAAAAAACTTTGAAGAAGTCATGTACATATGTATTCACAGCCTTTGTAACAAAGCTAGGCGGCATGGGTTTTCTGCGTGGGTTTTCTCCGGGTACTCTGGTTACCTCCAACATTCCAAAAACATGGGTGGCAGGTTAATGGAACACTCCAAATTGTCCCGAGGTGTGAGTGTGCGCATGGATGGTTGTCTGTCTCTGTGTGCCCTGCCACTGGCAATCAACTGGTTCAGGGTGTCCCCCGCCTACTGCCCGAAGGCGGCTGGGATAGACTCCAGCACGCCTGTCGACCCGTGTGAGGATAAAGCGGATCGGAAAATGGATGAATACAATACAATACATGCTGATTTATATAGCGCTTTCACAACAGCAGCAGCTGTAACAAAGCGCTTAACAAAACAGTTAACATAAAGTAAAAAAACACAACACGTGAAGAAGTCATCTATATATGTATTCACATCCTTTGTAACTTAACTCTAAATTGAGCTCACTTTCCACAGCTCGGCCATACAATGTTTCTACAGCCTAATTGGGGTCTACCTGTTGAAAATTCAATTGGTTGGACACAATTTGGAAAGGCACACAGCTGTCTGTATAAGGTCATACGTGACTACACATCAAGGCACAAATCAAACACTTAAGTCCAAGCAGTCTTGAGGCACAGATCAGGAGGAAAGGTCGAGAATTTTTTTTTTCCTCAGTAGCTTCCATCGAAGTAGTGTGCTTGGTGGATCAGGGCCCAAGTCAAGGAGGTGACTGAGAACTCAAATGATCTCTGTCGGCGCTCTGCGGAAATATGGAAACCAGGACAACCATCGCTGCAGTGATGAAAGGCTTGTATGGCAGAGTGGCCACATGGAAGAAACTTCTCAGTAAAAGGGCACACGCAGTGAGCAGCTTCAGGACAATTCTGCCTCTGAGTGGCCCAGACAAAGCTCTCCGGAGAGTTCAGAAAACGGCTTGATGGAGCTTGAGAGGTGCTGCCCAGAGGAACAGGCAAAACTGCTCAAAAATAAGGTTTCCCAAGCTTGTCTGTATATCTGATTCGGAAAGACTTGAGGCTGTCATTGCTGCCAAAGGTGCATCAACAAACAATTCAGCAAAGGCTGTGAATAGTGGTGTACAAGTGATTTGTGAAGTTTTCAATTGTTTTGGTAGATATTGTTCTTCTCTTTTGTTGTCTGGTACGGTTTATGCCTCGACTAAGAACATGTATTAAAGGTAGTTTGCTATTTTGAAGGGAAAAATTGAGTCTGTGAATATGCTGTTACAAAACATGTAAAAATCAAGTCACGTTTTGGAACTGTTTACATTTTAGGACACTTGGTGGCTGTATACCTGTATTACTTCACCACAACTCGAGCCGCTTTCTGCCTGATCAAGCATGTTTAAACTATAATCGATTTGTTCGTGGGTATATCAATAAAAGTATTGTATAATGTTTGACAAAATTACAGAAGAATGTAATTAAAAAAAAAAAAAAAAGACAGCCTGACAAGCAACACGGAGAACTAATGACTTACATCCCAAAATACGTAAAAGTCTCAAAACTGTCCAAAGATATGAATGTTATAATATAAGTGCCATGTAATTGTGTGGCAACCAGACCAGAGTGTACCCACTTCTTGCCCAGACTCAGCTAGGATAGAATCACCCATGACCCCATTGAAGACAAGTGCTTTCAAAAATGGGTGGAGCTTGGACATTCACTTGGTGGATGTCCCCAGTTTGTCCTGAAGAAGTGGATCACTGGGCTCATTAGGATGTGTCTGATTGTCCATGGGCGATAAGATGGAGGACAAGTGCTCTGTGCGATATTCCATGGCTCTTGACTGCCTCTCAATCAACAGCAGCGTGTTTCTTAACACTGAAATGATGGGAAGGAAACAAAACTCAGTCTTTGCGCTCATGTTGTTCATTATCAACCGTGCAGAGGAGGAACCTTACATGGAGACGTGCCGTCCATGCACCCTAGAAGCAGCTCGCCGGTTTGCAGAACATGAGAAATTAAGCGCTGATGACTTCTCAATTCCTGCTGAAATTTCTGAGAACAAGAAGACGGGTCAATATTGCCAAATGAATACTTTCAATTTTGAATCTCCGAAATTGTGGATGATACCTGATATTCAGCAAGTGACCTCTTCACGTTTTCATTGTCTACCGTGGGTCGAGCCAACATGTCCATCTTCTCGGAAACCTTGTAGAGCCAGTGGATATATTGCTCCAAGAGTGAACAAAACATCTGTAACAAAAGGTACAAACACACAAAGGTTGTCTGGCGGACACAGTATTTGACTTAGGAGCAAAAATTGGGCCCACTAGTTTTCTTCTTTTCATGACCTTTCGGCTTGTTAACATTAGTCATTCTGACTAAGTACACCCTTGGCAAAAAGTAGTTCAATTTAAGTATACCATAAGTAAACTTTTTTTATACTTAATTGGAGGCAGTATTATACTGTCAGTGTAATTTTTAAATACAATATTTTTATAAACTTCACAGAAGTATGCTTGGCTTGTACTGAAAGGTACACAGACAGATACTTATTGTATACTTTTAAAACTTGATTTGTTCCAATTTAGTATGAAAAAGTACACTTTATATACTTATACTTGAGTACACTTTATCAAGCATACTTTTTCAGAATGGAACCAGTTAATAAGGGCAGTATCAATGAACATGACACCCCAGAAAAAAATAAAAAATCAGCAATCGCTATGAAAGAGGGGAGGCGCCTGGGCCAAGGAAGAACTCATTAGATTTGAGGGAGATTGTGCATAGCTAGGCAGACACTGAAAATTATTGCAGTTTTTTTTCCATTAAAATTATTGCAGTTTTTTTTCCATTAAGCTTTACACAGCAATATCAAATGGTGTGACACAATACAACAAATGTGCATAAGTCCTCTCTGGTTAACAAGGAGGGAACCACAAAGCAAGAGTGATGCGCCTAAAAAGCAACAGTCTGCACATTAAGGCATACACCCAGCTCCTTTTTTAACAGTCAGTACCACAATAGTCTTCCGCTTTGTGCTTAGTACTTCAGGCATTATGCCGACTAATAATTTCTTTTAAGTTTTTTTTTTCCTAAACGACAAATGCAAAGATGGAAGTAATTTCACTGCATTAACATGACAAGACTGTTGTTTGCTCACACGACAAATGTAATTTAATTTATCAGATGCAGATGTAAATACTGAACCTGCAAATGAAAGCACAAATATCCCTTGACTCGTAATCATTTGTTGATGTCACAGAATGTTTCAGATTCCAGTTACGGAAATTGCCTCACTGTTCCAATACTTTTGGAGGGGAGCGTTGCACTTTTCTGCCTTCCTTGCAGTCAAAACACTTTTACAACATAGTTCTTCTTATGTAGTCATTCAAGTTTAGTGATGCCAGGACAGAAGGTAAGTTTTTTTCTTTATGATATCAGAAAGAGCTGAGTGCAATTTATTGTGAAAGAATTGAGCAGACTTGAGAGGAAAGTGGAGATAAACTCTGGAACCATTGGATGCCTCCGGAGGCAGACCATTCAAAGCGGTCCCTATTTTAGTACTTACGCGGGTACGTTGCATCAGAGAGCAACTGTGGTCCTGCTCCTCCAGGATGCCCTTCTGAGAGTCTCTCAGGTGGATGCCACAAAGCTGCTCCACCAAGGTCTCCACCTCCTTGAGACTGTCCTGAGTCAATCCTGGACCAACAGACTCCATCCATGAACTGGGACTTCTCCTCATTGCCTCAAGGTTACTATGATCAGCTGACGATAAGGAGGAAATAGCAGTCACGACCTAATAGTTTTTTTGCATTGCAAACCCAACATGACACACTTGTATTCACAATACAGAAGAAAAAGCAATAGAAAGAGAAACCCTTAAAATTAGAATCCCCTGAGATCACTTTTGTTCAACGGTATGAGTATCTGATTTAGTTGCACTCCTATAATTTATGTTAATTTTTGCTCTTCCATCATCTTTTTCTTACCTTGGTGCTCTTTGGCACCAGCCTCTTCAGCCAGCTCTTTCTCTTGCTGTGATAGAGTCAAGCAATGCGAGGCAGAGCCCACACACTCACACGTGGCTGCGAGTGGGCACTTCAGCCAGGCTGTCACCTCCTTTACCTTCAATCAGATAAAACGGGGCTCTTAGTCACACATTTTCACCATTTCAATAATTCATCCATCTTCTACACTGCTTATTCTAACTCGAATTGCGGATAAACTGAGGTGAGTTACACCGAGGACTGGTTGCCAGCCAATCGCAGGGCAGATCGGCTATAGCTGGTTGCTAACCATTCACGCCAACATTTGTATTTACAAACAAAACAAAGATTTCAATTAATTTGTGAAGGATGTGCAGCACCTGGAGAAAACCCACACAACCACAGGGAGAACTTCCAGACTCCCCACATGAATAATGCAAAATATAGTTAGCGTATTTTCCGCACTATAAGGCGCACCTAAAAGCATTCCATTCTCTCAAAAGCCGACAGTGTGCCTTATAATGCCTTATATATGGATAAATATTCTGATTTCTTGGACGTAGTATTTTAAATGTCCTGTACAGTGCTTTGTTACAGCTGCAGCTCCTGTGAAAACTCTACGTCAGGGGTGGCCAACCAGTCAGAGACGAGGAGCCAATTTTTTTACTGTGTTACTGCAAAGAGCCACATCATACCCTTCCTCGCGCACGTGCGTGCACACGCACGCACGCGCACACGCACACACACGCGCACACACACACACACACACACACACACACACACACACACACACACTTTTTTGGCCCATGATCGACTTTTGAAGTGACCAACTTCTCATGAACGACCCGATCGCGCACGTGAAAGCACACACACACACACGCACGCCCGCCTGCGCGCGCTCGCACGTACAGACTCATGCGGGTGCCTACCAGTGCACTCGCGCACATATGCACGCACACCACGATGAGCAACAGTCGGAACGGGCCGAAAATGAATGAGAGCTGAAGATACAAAGAAACAAATCTTTTTTTTCCCCACCCAGTTCTTTCTCCCACCCCTTGCGGTCAACTTGGGACCAGTTCGCTGGCTCCCGGTCAATTCAGATCGACGTATTGGGCACCCTTGCCTTAAAATCAGAGGTAATTCGCTGACTCGCTTAGCGCTTCGCGCCGTTGTTTGCGCATGAGCGGTGATGCAGTCATTTGATTGGTTGCCCTCTATGTCAATCAAGTAACGGGATTGACGATAGGCTGACGGAGTACGTTCTGTGAAGTTAGTGCCTTGTTTGAATGGCATCGCAACTGCTGAGGCGTTTTCGACGCTTGTCGTGTGAGAGCCCAGGAGCCGCATTGAACAAGCCAAAGAGCCACATTTGGCTCGCGAGCCGCGGGTTGGCCACCACTGCTCTACATAAATAAAGCTGTATCGTATTGTATTCCTTTAGCACAGCGCTATCTAGTGGATGCATAATGCAACCACAGCCACTATTGTAGCTTCTATTCTATGCGCCTTATAATACGCAGCGTATTATAATACGCCCTACATCTGAAAACTGTTTTAAAATTGGCCATTCATTGAAGGTGCATCTTATACTCTAAAACGCCTGATAAGTGCGGAAAATACGGTACCTTAAAAAAAAAAAAGTGTATTTATTCATATGTATGGTATATTGGGCACCCCGGTGGTCGAGTGGTGAGCACGTAGGCGTCACAGTGCATAGGTGGAGTGCTTGATTCCGGCTCCGGCCTTCCCGTGTGGAATTTGCATTTTCTCCCCATGCCTGCGTGGATTTTCTCCGGGTGCTCTTGGTTTCTACAAAGCAGCTCAATTCGTCGTCGTACAGTTTTGGAACCATGAGCTAGCTCACCAGTCGGCATCCCGCGGCTCCGGAGCCTCATGCGGCTCTTTCATCCTTATAATGCGGCTCTGATTGGCTTGGGAAAATAAATTAATAAAATTTTTTTTTTGTATTTAATTGAAGTGTGTTTTATTTGTGTTAGTTTTTATATTATTTTAGTTCTAAATTTGAAGATTATTGTGATCTTGAAATATTAAAATATTAATTAAATTATTTGATATTATTTTTTCGTCGCTCAAAATAGACGTCACACTGCGGAAGCTGGTATACCCGCTGAAACGGCGTCTATTTTGAGCGACTTTCAACCCCGGCAAAGCCAATGGACCTGCTCTGGAGCTGGAGCTGGCTGACATAGCTGACAAAGACATTTGGGTGTCCAAATTCAAACGCTTGACAGAGGACCTTGAAGATGTTGCCCGTCAGAAGGCCACTCTTGCTCAGAATCACAAATGGAGTGATATTGAGAACCTCCCGAGACCGGACAAACTCATATTTGAAACATGGAATGCCATCCCCGACACCTACACGAACATGAAGAAATATGCCTTTGGAGTCCTGTCGATCTTCGGATCCACATATGTATGTGAGCAGCTATTCTCCACCATGAACTGCATTAAAAACAAACACCGCTTACGGCTCACAGATGACAGCTTACAGTCCTGCGTAAAGATGAAAGTGACTTCGTACAGCCCCGATTTGCAGAAGCTGTGCGCAGAGGTTCAGGAGCAGAAGTCCCATTAACCAGGTAAAATAAATATTTATGCAGATATTTTGCAAATATTTAATTTTCATTGTTTAGTGACACAGTGCTTTTTCCCCCAATTTATTTTATATATTCAGGTCAAGGCTCCGCTGCATACTTTGAAAGCCCGAGGCGATATAAGGATGACGGCTCACGGATTTTTCCCTTTTGTTTGCTGCATGCACAATTTAAATTCAGCTTTTTAATTTATTCGAAAGAGACATTCAGACATTATTATTTTTTCAAGAATTCAAAATGTGTTCATTACATCGGTAAAATTTAATTTTCTCCGTAGCACTTCATAAGACATAACCACACTATAGTTGTTTATACAAAGTGTAAAGGTAAGAAAAAGCAATATATACAGTGTTATCTTCATTTTAGATAAGATAAATGGATATAAGGATGACGCCTCATGGCATTTTTCTGCTTTCGTTTGCTACATGGACAATTTAAATTCAGCTTTTTAATTTATTTGAAAGAGACATTCATTGTTATTATTTTTCAAGAATTCAAAATGTTCAAAATGTGTTCATTAAATGAATAAAATGTAATTTTCTCTGTAGCACGTGGATTTCATAAGAAACACGCTGCGGTAAAGTAGTAGAAGTTTTTTTTTTTTTCATTTTAGATGTGCGGCTCCCAGTGTTTTCTTTTCCGTGGAAACCGGGTTCAAATGGCTCTTTCGGTGTCAAAGGTTGCCGACCGCTGAGCTAGCTCCAAAAAGAATATGACATGCCAGTAATTTGCCATTGAGTTAAACAAAAAGGAAGACTGGAAATCTTTCGGAACTGGAATTGAACCCTGGACCTCTGCTCTATGAGGCCGACGTGCTAATCAGTTGACCACTGTGCCGCCCAGAGTTTGACTAAAACGTATTAAATGTTGCTTTTGTGAAAGCACCCAAACTCGATTTCTGAAGCAAACTGCTGTGGTTGGGTACCAGGGCAGTAGTGTGCAAAAAGATAAATCAATTGGTTTGTCATCTTTCGCAACTTTCAACAACAAACCAACAAATAATTATTCCATATCAGTAGTGCTTGTTGAAACTGCACCCTGAGAATTGGTGTAACCAGAAACTTTTGAAAGTATAGTTAATGCCAGCTCGACAACACTGACCTGTCTAGTGAGGAGTTGCACCTCTTCCAGGTGATCAGGCAGAGCCCAAAACTCCTTGTCAAAGTCCCCACCTACAGATTGGGACTGAGGAAGAACACTTGTTGCGTGGATAAAAGCAATGGAGGAGGAGGGTTGTGCATATTGATGATGGTGCTGACTTCTACCCTGGTGACAGTTCCCAACTTCTTTGTCCATAACTAAGCCCAAAGTATCCAAAAACAACTCAGAAGAGAGTGATCTGGAGACAAGTGCAGAAGAGTCCACACCCGTGGAATTGATTTTCTGATCCATTCTGTCCCATGCTTCTGTCTGCATGGTGTTGCTCAGGTTTAAATCCGACCCAGATGGGCTGGTGGTACGAAGGTTATCCAGTTCAATACCAGAATCCACTAAGTTCAGGTCTTGTTGTTGGCGAGAGTCACCAAGGAACGCAGCGCTGTCCCACTTCCTGTCCATCTGCCCAGGTCTAAGAGGGTAAGTGTAGTCCAGCAAAGCTTGATACTCCTGGTTTGGATCCCAGGATGCGGTGTGTCTATTTGTGGATGTGGGCAAAGACTTCGGGATAGCACAGTCCCAATAGTTTGCTTCGTGATATGACATGGTTTGTCTTCTTGACTGCCCGGCTAAAGAGTAGAGATTTTGTTTTTTGAGCTCTGTTGTTTGGTCTCTTTTAGAATATGATAAACGTGGGGTGGGGGTATAGGTGGGGTACAGAACGGTGGATGTCAGTTGCAGCCTCTCAGGACGGTCCTTTTTCTGCAACTCCAGAATGTTGCTGGGGAGGTCACACTGAATTGATTTATTTCTGGTCAAAGTCAATCCAACAACAGGTTCTTCATGTTCTAACTTTGTGCTGTCCTCTGGGAAATCCAAAAGTGAGCTGCACACTTCTGTCGAGGCTGAATGATCGGCGACATCACTGGGAGTGAAGTGATTGCTCACGGACTTCAGGTCTTCTCCTAACCAAGTCAGCAAATTAACCTTGACGGAACGCTGACCTTCATGTTTTCCGCTGGTACTGACATGCATCTCCTGTGAAATATCAAAAATGTGTTTTAAAAATCAAATCATATTTCAGGTAAATGTGAGTGCTTGGTTTTCGAAGGTCCTGGCACATGGGGTTTCGAGATTACGACGGCGCGCAATGAACTAGTCTAAAACTATAATCCTGTCATAATCTCGAGGTGTATTTATTACGGTACTATTGATTTCTGAGTATGATGTCTTTTTCAGACTAATTTATATCACAGAACGCAAATAAGATGTATACACACACACAGACACACACACACACACACACACACACACATACAGTATAAATACACAATATTCAACTACCGTATACTTGAATAAGGTAAGGCCAAACAAAAAAGATGTTTCCGGTAACATGAAATTTCAGCATTGGGTCGGTAGGTCGGAAAAAGTATTTTTTTTTTTCCCCCATCAAAAATTTAAACAAAATAACCATAAAACATAAAACAAGGAGCTATTGCACCCCCCGCTCGCTGCCGAAGGCGGCGAGAGAGTTGGGTACCCGGCGGCTGGGTGTTAGGTTCCGAGGTCGGCCGGCGGGGAGAGGTACCCGGCCGTGGCCCGGCCTGGACTAGAGTTGCGTAGACTAGGCGGACGGTGCGTCGACGAGCGCGCGGACGCGCGGGTCGGGCGGTCGGGAAACGCCGACGGGCGCCTGACCACGGGTGGGTGAGACGGGCGGGACTGGGAGCGGCCGGCCGCGTGACGCGCACCGACCGACCCCGCGCCCGACACTGTCCCCTACCCCCGCGACGCCAGCAACGCCCCCACCGCCGTCCCGCAGCTCCGCGGCCGGCGCCGCCGCCACCTATTTACGTAGTTTTCTCCCCGCTCCGGACTCGGGGGGTCGGGGCGCGCCGCCGCCTCCGCCGTCCTCCTCCGCCGTCCTCCTCCGCCCTCGGTTTTTACTCGGCCCGTGGTGTTTATTAAATAGTTCGGTGAATTTTTTCGATACATCAATGGATGCTATTTCCTTAACATTACGGTGCGAGCATGCGACTGTAACACAGAAAACGCGTTTTAAACTGTCGTCGGAGATCGCGGCCGCCGCCATGACAGGGCAAACGACGCACGCGTGAGTATCGCGAGAGTTTGCACCGATGTAAACTCTCTATACAAAAATGTAGAGGGTTGTTTGAAAAAAATGCCGACCGTAAAGTTTTTTTTCGATGTAGAAATTCTCGGTCGGTCAGGTTACCGGAAACACACTAGTTTTTTTTCTCCGCCTAAATAAGACAATGGGGCACACGAATATGGTTTCGTGAGACATGGATAGTAATTCAAATTGTGAGTATCCTGTAAAGACATTCCATCAATGTTGTACTTGCCTTCTGTTGATGCTGCTGCTGAGGAGTCTTCTTTAAAATGGATGCCTGTTCCATATAGAAGAGAGGCTTTCTCATCACATATTGCCTTTCAGTCAAATACCTGGAAGTGGGTGCCATGGTAACACTTTTATGGGTCTGTTCCTTTTCCCAATCTGTTGCTCTTTTGCCACTCGCAACGTCTGTTGCATTTAATCTCATGCTGTGGCTAACACATGTATCTGGAGGAAGAAACTTCCATGGCCGGCTGCATTCAACGGCGTCCATTGGAGAAAATATCATCTATGAAGATCCTGTCAATGAAATGTACATTGAAATAAAATGACATCATTAACTATCATAAAATAAAAAGGACAGAAAATGTGTTTTTAATCAGTGTACTGTAGTGCAATTATAGACGGGTGAAAGTTACTGTTATTCGAAACAAAGGAGGTGACTAAAGACGCAGAAATGATGCAGTATTTCCCGACACAATGACAGTGCATAACTTTTTCTTATCAAAGTCGTTTGGTGGGGTCTTGCATGCGTGAAAAATCACTTTGGATGTTGCTGTTTGCAATTCATGTCAAAAGGTACACAGCGTTGCAGCATTTACTATTTTTGTATTCAAAATAAAATGATATATAATGATTTAGGTGTGTAGATCTGTGACTTTTTTGTTGCCATTTCTTAGTTTCAAATTTTTGTGTGGTTATTTTTGGGTCACCACAATCAAAAAATGGCATACTCAAAATATAGCACAGGAGTTGTTTGTGCTGGCATCTCAAAACAGCAAAGCAGTGAATATTCTCAAGAAAGTTAAAAAAAATACAAGAAAAAGTTTTTAAAATTACAAAATCGACACAAAAGTACTGAATGCAGTTTCACAAAAGCATCCAACCTCAAGCCAACCCAAAAGACCAAATAATTTGAAATGTTTTTGACTAATCCTTAACCCTCCAAACTTAATACTCTACCTAAAACCTTCCAAATGACCCAAACCCAAAGCCCCTCCACTGGGCATCACATGGTACAAATTCACAAACATAAATTTATCTTTGAACTGGAGGTAATTTTCAACATTTTAATGAACATTAAATAAACACGGCACCATATTGTCCGCTAGTAAATAAAGACAAAAACAGCAACCATTTCAGCAGACACATGACCTACGAAACGTGGAAATCTGCTCTATTTTCGGGACCTGATAGCCCTTCCCATGTTTGGCCTTCTTTACTTCCTGAACAGAGGACAGCGAGTAAGAATGTTTGTGCGTGTGAGTGTTTTCAAATGTAGCAATAATGGCAATTGCATTGGGAGTTGTACAGCATTTTTCATTGGAGTGACAGTCAAGGAAGAAGTTCAAAACAATTCGGTCCATCTTTAGCTACACTCTATTATTACTATGCTTAACACAACATCCCAACTTCATTGGAATTGAGCTTGTAAATAACAACAATGTCATAGTCTTCAACCCTTCCTTATGTAGGCTATATCTTAAATGAGTACAAAGAACATCCTTTAGAAGTACAGTAGCATATCTGTTTTAACTTTTGTTTTTGTCGATCAGGGATGCACAATGCACATACATGACCTAATTTAGCCAATGACATAACCATGTGAGGGATTAATAACAATTCAAATGCAACAGGTAGATTGTTTTCTAGTGCTGTTGTTAAAGCGCTATAAAAATACAGATGAAGTGCTGTTGTGTTGCAATGTCGCGGATGTCACAGCCAATGAAAAATGCACAAGCTTTCACAACAAAAAAAATCATTTAGCAGTTTTAAGCATATGCGAGATCCAGCCGGCCGTATCAATACCATTACAAACAAGTGCAAATATGTTGTATTTTATAACAATACCAGACTATATATTTTTTGGGCCCTATACAAATGCACCGACGGCTCAAAAAATTGCTCAAGCGCACAGGGGCAGTCAGTGAATGGGAAAGAATGATCAATAGGCCTCTCAAAATATCTACAGCAATGGCTTTGTGACAATTCGCTTTTGCCTGAACGATCACGCCCTGTTTCCATGTTTCAATAATAGTTATAAAAGCCAAATGTGAAAATGCATACTTGAATCTCATCTTAATTTTCCAAATGCATCTGGAGCAAACCGCACGCTTGAGATCAGGACTGATATTTGCAACTGTGATGAGCTCCGTTTCCGAGTCGATGATGATTAACCATACAGGATGCATAAAGGGTGAGTAGATTAAAAGATAAACAGAAAGGCATGTGGACACATTTACAATTAAGTTGTCCCTCACCGTCTGTTACTATAACATCGTTTTTAAATTAAAATTGGCTGACAATTCAGTAGCATTTCGACGGCTCGGGGTAATTTTACGTAGACGGACGTGAACTAACGGGATCATACAATGTGCCATTTGTTATTTTGGTTGAGGCTTCTTGTGTTCCGCAAATGTCACGTGGCAGTGGTCATTGTGGTATCGTGTGATGAACCATAGCAACAGCCGGACGGAATTGAACTACCTGTACGAAAAAAGCAGCGGTTGCACGGGACACAAAGTGTTAAGAGTAACAGGAAAAACCAACCAAAAGATGCACAAAACTCAAAACAACTTTAGTCTTGCAAAATTAAAAAAAAAACATGACTACCCCATGAAGAATTCAACATTTTGGCTATGTCGCAAATTGTATCGCTGTATAAATTGTGAAAAATACACAAAATTTAAACAAAAATGCTGATGGACGTGTCATTATCCAAAATCTGGCATACAGACCATCAGTATGAAGTGGATTGTTTTGAAGCGAGACGTCGCGAGTGTAATGAGTCAATGAATGAAAAGTTTGTTTCACCATATACGCTAACTAAAGACGGACAAAGACCGAGAAAATGTGGTTCAGTTTCTGACCCCGATGATTAGAGTATCTTCGCGATGAATGTCCATTTGTAGTGACGAGCCGTCTCATAATTGTGTAAGGCTCCCGGTCCTCCTTCCCCAACCATGTTGCGTTTAAGTGCCAATGTTAAAGTGCTGAACTCACAACACCCAACTAACATGTTCATAGCCTTCACTATATCCGCCGAATAACGAACTACGAAAGAAAACACATGTTACCATTGTGAACAAATTCTTTAGCTGTTTCAACACGTTGTACTGTGTGGTACTGTTTATGCAAAATGTAGCACATGAACGTGGTATAAAATAAATTACTCCCCATATCTCTCAATTGACGAGGCGTACTTCAACTTGTTGTCCCTGAAATTGAAATTACTTTCATATAATTCTTTCGTTGTATATTTATACACATTGGTGACGTTATTTAAATTTACAATTAATCTTCATACTAAAGTCCCCAGGGAAGAAGTGTCTGAATTGCGAGTACACTAAGGTACCTGAATGCGACACTGATGTGTGATTGGTAGAGAAGAATGCGAACTCAGTCACTCCATAGTTGACTCATTCAGTGTAAAATCCTACGCCGACGTCGCCGCCGTATTAAATGTGGCAAAGTGGTATTATAGTGTGTGATAACGGCTAAAAATGCACGTTGTTAATTGTCTTTTTACTGCGGGCATCGCTAAAGCACATGCTGCCTAACCAGTCACATCCGTGGTCGATGGATTATCTTGAGCTGGCAAAAGAGAAGTGCTTACTAACACAGAGTTAATACAGAGAAATTGTTATTTTGTGTATATAGGAAGTCCGAAATATTTTGAGTTCAGTTCATGAAAAAAAGATCACTAAAACAATGGTGCTGTTTTATGGACAGTGTTCAGATGAGGAAATACACTCATGTTATATCAGAGGCCAATATGGATGGTATCAGCGAAGAGTTCATTTTAACAGCACTACAAGAGCAGCAACAATTTTTTTTCCCTCCACGGGATCGAAAATGAATATTAACCCTTTCGGGGACAGCAGTTACTACAGTAGACAGCTTTTATTGCGTTATCAGGTTACAGGGTGCATGAAAGGGTTATGCATTGCCATTGAAAAAGTCAGAGACAAAACAGTTTTTGCTTCTGGGATGCCATCTGACTGAAAAATAAACTGTTAAAGGTGTGATGTTTGAGGAGGAGTAGCTCCTTCAGTCAACACTTCTCCATGAAAGTAAATTCGTCCTCTTTGTCAGCAGTAACAGCTTGCTCAAAAGCCAGCTTCTACTCCTGAGAGAAAGCAACATTCGTCCAAAATTGTGTGACAGGTATTGTAAACACCAAATAAATCGTGTACGTTGATCTAAGAAGAACTACTCAAAACTTTGATCATTTATGACCTATTATTAATGAATATGTATTAGAAAAGTGAAGGTTTATTTTTTGAGAATGTTAAAACCAAAATGGCCTCCACTTCTCTCGCAAAGGAATCAAACACCATTAATTTAAATTGTTTTATTTTGTTTCCGCTATGTTTGATGATCAGAAATTAAGTATCTAAGGAATAAGTGTCATGTGATATGAAATATGTCACAAAGCATGTTTCTCACAGTAAACTAAATTTACCAAGTTTAACTTGGTGAAAAAAGGCAATTTATCTGTGTTATGACAACTGTCAATCGATAAACAGTTCAAGTGTACAATGTATTTCAAATGCAGTTTATTTTCCTTTTTATCCAATTATAAAGGTTCCTGCTGGAAGTCTTTTGCACGTGGCCGACAGGAGCAAACGCGCTGCAAACGGCTGGACGCTGCAAACACAGGAATGAAATAAAGAAAAAAATGACAAACACACAGCAAACTAAAAAACAACAACAAAATAGAAATAAAAGAAAAAAAATTAGCATGCAAGTTTGCCAGGCCACAAGAGGGAACCGCAACACAAGTCCTGTGAGGCATTTGTTTTGTAGAATGTAATGTTTGCTTCCACTTTGGTCTTTCTTACATTTATTTGTATTTTTTTTACATTCATGTGTTTGTTTTTTGTTTGCGTCATTCCCTTGGCTGCAATGTTTGGCCGTTTGCAGTATTTCTTACTTGCAGCATTTTTGTTTTGCAGTCGTTTAGTGTTTTTTAGTTTGTATGTGTGTTTCTTTTTTTTTTTTTTGCATCATTTGTTTGTTTGCAGCGTGGTGGCACAGTGTTGACTGGTTAACACTTCACAGCCTTACAGTGCAGAGGTGCAGGGTTCGATTCTGGGACACGACCTTCCTGTGTGGAGTTTGCATGTTCTCCCCATGCCTACGTGGGTTTTCTCTGGGTTCTCCGGTTTCCTCCCACATTCCAAAAATTTTTAGTCAGTTTCGCTTGGAGGGCCGTTATGACTGAAACATATGAAGAAGTCGAGGATAACGGTTTATTCACCTATTAGTGAAGTTACTGTAATGAGGGGTTTGGTCACAAGAAAATGCTTGCAGTATCACTCTTATTTATTACAAATGAGAAATGGAAAATTTGGTAGAGATTTTAGCCAGCATCGTGAAAGTTGACATCTGTGATTTGCTTTCGCGGGCCACAGAAAATGATGTGGCGGGCCAGATCTGGCCCCCGGTCCTTGACTTTGACACAGGTGCTCTAAATGGTCCCCAAGTGTGATTGTGAGCGTGAATGGTTGCCTTGTGTGCCCTGTGTTTGGCTGGGAACCAGTTCAGGGCATACCCTGCTAACTGCCCGAAGACAGCTGGGATAGGCTCCAACACGCCCATGACCCTCGTGAGGATAAAGCGGTTCAGATAATGGATGGATGGGTGTTTGCAGCATATTTATGATGCAGATGACACAAACACTGCAATTTTCTCTCCGTCTCTGGAAAGTTTTCTACAACAAACCTCACCAAGTGTGGGCATTATGAGGTGCATAGTAATCAGGGGCCAACCATGATTCCTGGCACCCCACCCTCTCTGAGTCTTTTGATGAGTTCAGGAAGACCATTGGCAGGAACCCCAAGACCAATGATATTTTACAGACCATTGCAAAGGTAAAGGTTTCCGGTGTGTGAAGACCAACCACATCAAGTACAATACTGTGTCTATAATTAAGCTTTATTCAATGTTATACATCAAACAACCATTCTGTGAGCACTGTCTTTGTACAAACCCAGTTCTAATGAAGTTGGCACGTTGTGTTAAACATCAATAAAAACTGAATACAATGATTTGCAAATCATGTTCAATCTATGTTTAATTGGGTGCAATACAAAGACAATAATATACTTAATGTTCAAACTGATCAACTTGATTGTTTTTAGCAAACAAGCATTCACTACGAAATTTATGACATCGCACAGGTGAACAGGTTAACTGGGAACAGATGGGTGCCAAGATTGGGTATAAAAGGAGCTTTCTTGCGTTGCTCAGTCAATCACAAGCAATGATAGGGTGATGTTCTTCTCAACTGCATGAGAAAAGAGTGGAACCGTTTCAGGACAACGTTACTCAACATACAAGTGCAAGGAATTTAGGGATTTCTTCATCGCCATAATATCATCAAAAAGTTCCGAGAATCTTGAGAAATCACTGCATGTAAGCGGCAAGTCCAAAAACCAACATTAAATGCCTGTGACCTTCGATGCCTCATGCAACACTGGATGAAAGACCAACATCGATGTGTAAAGGATATCATTACATGGGCTAAGGAACATAATGTCAGTGAATACCTTTTGGAACTCTATACAGAAGTGCAACTTAAAACTCTATAATGCAGAGCAAAAGCCATTTAACAAGAACACCCAGAAATGCCACCAGCTTCTCTGGGCCCGAGCTCATCTGAGATGGACTGATGCAAAAGTGTTCTGTGGTATGACAAGTCCATATTTCAAAAATGTGGACGCCGTGTCCTCTGAGACAAAGAGGAAAGGAACCATGTAGACTGTTTTGACCACAAATTTCAAACACGGGCATCTGTGATGCAAAGGGGCTATGATAGTGCCAATCATATGGGTAACTTACACGTCTGTGAAGGCACCATTAATTAATGTTGAAAGGTACATAGAGGTTTTGAAATCTATGCTGTTAGAACAGCATAGATTTGTCATAAAAGAATGCGGATTGTAGACTGGCCTGTCTCCAGGCCAGACCAGTCTTCCATTGAAAATGTTTGGTGCATTATGAAACGTAAAATACGACAACGGAGACCCCAGACTGTTGACAGCTGAAGCTGTACAGCAAGCAGCAATGGAAAAGACTTCAACCTACAAAGCTTCAACAATTTGTGTCCTCAGCTCCCAAACGTCTATGAAATGGAAAAATAACATTTGATGTAAAACAGGGCGGCCCGGTGGACCAGTGGCTTGCGCGTCGACCTCACAGTCCAGAGGTACCGGGTTCAATTCCAGCTCCGGCCTCCCTGTGTGGAGTTTGCATGTTCTCACCGGGCCTGTGTGGGTTTTCTCCGGGTACTCCGGTTTCCTCCCACATTCCAAAAACACGCATGGCTGGCTGATTGAACACTCAGAATTGTCCCGAGGTGTGAGCGTGAGTGCGGATGGTTGTTTGTCTCTGTGTGTCCTGCGATTGGCTGGTAACCAGTTCAGGGTGTCCTCCGCCTACTGCCCGAAGACAGCTGGGATAGGCTGCAGCACCCCCCACGACCCTTGTTAGGATGAGCGAATCGGACATTGGATGGATGTAACACAGTGGTACACATGACCCTGTTTTTGGGAAAGTGTCAGTTATAAAATTCAAAGTTAATTATTATTGATGAAAAACAATGAACTTTATCAGTTTGAACATTTAAAATCATGTCTTTGTCGTGTATTCAATTAAATACAGGTTGAACATGATTTGCAAATCATTTTATTCCGTTTTTATTTGTTTATGTTTAACACAACATCCCAACTGGCGGCACAATGGAAGACTGCTTAGCACCACACAGTGCAGAGGTTAAGGGTTCGATTTCAGCCCCGGCCTTCTTGTGTGGACTTTGCATGGTCTCTCCGTGCCTGCGTGGGTTTTTCTCCGCGTACTCCGGTTTCCTTCCTCAGTCCAAAAACATGGCAAGTTAATGGATTACTCCAAATTGGCCTTTGGTGTGAGTGTGATCACGGATGGTTGTTCGACAATGTGTGCCCTGCGACTGGCTGGCAACCAGTTCAAAGTGTACCCCACCTACTGCCCAAAGACAGCCGGGATAGGCTCCAGCATACCCGCAGCCCACGTAAGGATAAGTGATCAGATGATGGATGGATGGATAACTTTATTGGAACTGGCTTTGGAAAAGTGGGTAAGGATTGTGTTGAAAAATTTGAAGAGGATCTCTGTTTTTAACTGCTTCTAAGTGCCACCAAAGCCACAAGACTCGAGGCAGACCTCCTTTGTGTCCTTGGTTGGATTTTGATTGACCACTCAGAAACATTGTATTTTCCTCACTGTCTGATCTTAACACAACATTGCAGACATACCAAATGAACAACATTCAAATTGATAATTTTCAGGTGCACGACTGTACAACTTAGGCAGTGAACTAGAAGTCCACACAGCGACCCTTCCTCTCCCAGTCTCCATAGCGGGTGGGCTCTGGACCTCGGGGACCTCCCTTTTCCTTTGTCACAGGATTCACATCCTCAGGAAACCCTTGCGGAAAAGAAATTATTCAGTCTGATACATTTGTATCAGCCTCACTTAACTGTGTGTGGTGTCGTGCTATCTTAGGTGGTGACATATTCACTTGTTTTATTTGTTTAAGCCTTCAACAGTGATGCATAGGTTATTGTATGCGAGTTTAAGGTTATGTCATTTAGTATGAAATTCAGTCAACAAGTATGGACTGTAAATTGGATGGAAGCATCGAGAGAGAGAAAGAGAGAGAGAGAGAGAGAGAGAGAGAGAGACAGAGAGAGAGAGAGAGAGAGAGAGAGAGAGAGAGAGAGAGAGAGAGCATTTTACTCCCTCTCCAAAACATTCTTACTCTCCAGAACATCCTTGGTTTTCTCCTCGTCCTTGTCAAACCGTCCCTGGGGAGTTGTAGCTTTTTTCAGAGGTGCTCGATCTTTTACTGCACCACTGGCGAACCGGAACCATCCTGAATGCGACCCAAATCAAGACACGTTATTCGTGATGAAGTTATAGCGTTTGGTTTTATCTGTTTAGGTCGGGCACAGTGGACCTCTCCTCGCAGAGTCGAAGGCAAAAACTAATCGGCAGCTTACATCCAAGCTTAAGGTTAAACTATTGCAGTTCATATTGATAATATAGCGCTTTGGTTAAATGGTATCAACAACGGAAAAAGAGTGACTCACCTAACAATGGCGATCCCGAGATAAGACTCTTTGAAAATAAATATTTGCAGCTGGAAACAGATGACAGTGAGCGAGACATCTGTTACCTTCCTATGTCTGGACAATTACACAATTGCTGTTGTGACGCTGTGTCAAATAAGGCGTCATCATTTTGCGACGGAAGATCAGTACGTAATTGTAATTTATTATATTACCACGAGAGAGCGACAAAGCTCTTCCTGATTTCCTTACATTTTACTTGGCCAAAACTGCATTATATTACGTTACATCAGGTACAATTATCACCGCCCTGCAGCACAGTAAAACAATATTCTCTATTTACTATAATTGTGGTCAGTATGACGATAAATATTTGGTCACTTAACTCAACAACTAAATAAATGAGCAAAATACAAAATGGATATGATTAAAAAATGGAATAACAACTTTAATATCGGTACAGGCCTGTCGTTATTATAAATACATTAGTATTTTTTAAACCAACCGCTAAAAGTAATGAAGTAAAAATAATACTGCATTAATTAAGGGTTTAACGTTTTTAAAGCATTTTATTTGTGACATACAAAAGTAGCCTACTCATGCTGTCGGTTTTTAAATTACACACTGCCTCAACCGAAATGCCGTATTCAGATCATTAATAAATAACATTTGAGTCCTTTTAAAGTTATTTTTATTTCCTCGGTGTTGTTTGTTTCACTCATATAAATTATACATACTGTACATGGCGCCTTACTAAAAAATGTAGGCACTGAGGTAGCGATTAATAATATTTTGCATGTAAGAGTGGTAATTTCTCTCATCTATTTAATTTTTTATCATCTTCTATGAACCCTATGTCTGCGTGATTGTGTGCACGCACGAGTTTGTGTGTGTGTGTGTGTGTGTGTGTGTGTGTGTGTGTGAGAGAGAGAGAGAGAGAGAGAGAGAGGAATTCCAAGAGTTTTCACTCTTCAAGAGAGGGTGAATTCTTCTTTCGCCTTGAGGAAAGCGGTCCTGGGGAATGTCACGTTACACACAGACACTGACACGTATTCACATATCTCTTTCCATAAATTGCGATATACCACTGAGATTTTCATCCATCCGCACACAGTTTACTATGCAACATCTTAAATATACAATTCCATCTTGTTAAAATATATCGGAAATCGGGGCTAATTCTATTTAGAAGCAGTTGGACTGAACTTCGTTTTGATGAGCCATGGTTGAAAAAAAACTCGCATTACTAGAAACAAAAATAATGGCTGGCGCGTTTGTGCTTTCCAAAATATAAAAATTCTTTCAAAAATGCGCAGCAACGAGAACAATCTTAAATTAAAATCATAGTGTCACATTTTTCACTTCGGGAGGTAGCTGAACTCCCACTCGATTATTATTATTATTATTATTATTATTATTATTATTATTATTATTATTATTATTATTATTTTTATTATTATTAATACAATTGTCTCTGACAGTATAGCAGTGGTATAGAACTGCATTGAATATTTTTGTGTAACAATACATTAAAGTAAAATCGCTGGCTGGATATAAATTATATTGCATAGGCCTATGTGATATGACCATAACGCATCAGCAGTGTTAGACACTTTTTTTTCCTTGGGAGTGGGAGTAGAAATTCTGTGTTGTCAAGTTGTCCATTTAGTGAATTGGACGGATTTACGAGTGAAGGCCTTTCATAAATGTTCATTAAAAATGTGAATCCGCTAAAATGTAAAATTAAATTAACTACTGTCTGGTGGTATATTTTCACGATATGGAAGTCTATCTTATGAATAAGATGCTCGTTGACCTGTTGGCCCATATCGATACTAAAATAGCCATCATCAACAATATTCACATCTTTTGTTGAACATGTCTTGAATTGACATATATTCAAAGGCGCTCTCTATATTACATTAGTGTCCAATGGTACAATCAGATAAAAAGCTGTTCATGAGACTCGAGTTCATTCTGGGATAGCAACGCCTTTCAAACGTGATTTTTTTTTTTATTTCTATTTTTTTTCATGACTGATGGATCCCCGGGGCTTGTGCAAGGTACCCCTTCCAGAGGCACGCTCCGTCAGAGAAAAGGAAGAAGGAAAAATAGTCAGGAGAGAAATGGTTTCCAGCATGATAGCCTTCAAGTCATTTGGGCTCCGCAGAAACATTCGCCACCTACTCGCAGGCCGTAACGCTGCTGATCTTGGCGGTGTTATCGGTCCACGGTTGCAGGTTCTGCAGGGCGAACAAAGAGCTATTCTGTAAGCAAAGCGGGTCCGGTGTCACCGGCTGGTTGATGGACTTCTGGAAGGCCTCCTGCTGCAATTGCATTAGAATCCGGTTGGCTTGTTGTCTCTCCGCTTCTCTTTCCTCCGCCGTCTGCCTTCTGCACAACACGCCAGAGCGCACACCAAGGATGGATGGATGGATAAATGAATATACAAATACGTGTATTTCTTAATTTGTAAAATATTTCTCCTCTTAAAAATGACACAGCATCATGTGTAATTTGACAAGGTTGAAGTCTTCTACTTTTCTTGTATTGCTGGATGTGTTTAAAATAAAGGATTTATTAAAAACAACTACCTTGTACGTTAATAACAAATTTTAAAAATACAATTATTTTACGAAGTATTGTTCGAACGCTGTACATTAAAAAACCTTAATCTTACTGATTTTGATCGTGTTGGCAAATCGCAGTATTCCAATTCTAAATGGATATTGGGATTTTGAAAGGTATTTGAATATGATGGTATGATTTTAATATGATGTCGAATTCGATTATTATTAAGGTTAGGAGTTTATCTGCGTAGGTTTACGTGTGCGATTTGCTCTCTATTTTTGATAAATGGATCTGGATTTCGCTTTCACTTATCTTCCCGTAAAAATAGAGAGCAATTCTCACTTTGATTTGGTTTGACAATATCAAAATAGCCGCTTTCGTTCTATTTTTTTTGCCGCTTTCGTTCTATATATATATATATTTTTTGTAAACCGCGTGAGATTAAAAACAAATATATTTTAAAAATCAAATTTGGCGATATAAATTATTGTCTGGCAAATTTTGTCTGATTACAATAAATTGTGTTTTCGTAATGCCAGCATTAAAATCGACTCTGATCTAGCATGTACTTTAGTGTCCCATTTAACTTAAAATCTCATTCCATGACATCAGATTCAGTCGTGTAAATGACGGCAGTGGCTTCTTCTTCTTCTTCGCGCCATTGTCACAGGTTGATTTTGTCGATTCGAAATGTTATGGCCATTGTTGTTGTCTCGATAATAAAAAGACGTGTTGAATTAACAGACGCAAATTGTCTTAAAAATCTGTCCTCTCGCCACACCGAATTTCCATAAATTGTATAAAAGAACACACACACACACACACGCACACATACGCACAAAACATCGATTGGGATGAAAATCTTAAAGTAAATCAACATGTTTTCGAGATTATAGTGTTGAACTATGACCAAACTTACTCCAACATTTAAAGATTCACTAGCGTGAATCAAAATAGCGCTGCCAGGTGAGTATACCCTGAAAAAAAAATGCTCTACCTCCATTTAGTGCGTCTGTTTTGGAACCAGGTTTTGACCTGAGCGTCGGTCATTTTGAGGGCTTTGGCAAGAGTGGCCCGCTCGGCAGACGCCAAGTATTTCTGGCGGTGGAAGCGCTTCTCTAGCTCGCAGATCTGCAGTCGTGTAAATGACGTCCGTGGCTTCTTCTTCTTCGGCGGCGTCCGATTCTGGTAGGGGTGTCCTACACGACGTGTTACAGTGAGCGGTGAGAGAGACACTAGACGGACCGAAACAACAGGAGCAAAACAAGAAAACATAGTGAACGATAATATAGTAGTCATCATGACATGATAATACATTCTATTATATTCGCCATAGCCACAGACACTTGCACAGAGAGCAAATACACTATAATCACAGATAATAATGCTCAGTTTTAAGTGATGCGGTTAGAAAGCTATTAATTTATCAACATCTTAATTGCCGTGCTCAGCATGCTGCTGTTTTTTAAATGTTTATTTCGTATCATCTAAGACATACCTTTTTGTTCCAATCGGGTTACCAATTGTTTTTATATTAATCTGTGTAGTCGTCAATTAAGTCAATAAAACTATAGAACCTACACAACAGCCTACATATTTGATGCAAAAATAGTATGCACTGTGTCACATGTATTGTTTATTGTCAGGTTTTTAACTCATTCAGTACCAGCCAATTCTAGACCCCATTTTTTAAAAATCTTACCCTAAATCTTGGAAAACTTGAAAAAAAGACATAAATATGTCTTTGGGAGTGAATGAGTTAATAAAACAGCTTCATTTTGGCACGCCTTAGTTCCAGTTTTCAACAATTACAATTTTCACTTTGAAATGTCATTTAGTGGACTTAATGTCAACACCGCACTATTCTATTCTATTCTATTCTATTCTATTCTATTCTATTTTTACATACCTGTGAACCTGTCTTTTGTGTATCGTCTGTTGCTCTCCATCCAAGGGAAGGTAAGCGCACTTATGTTGTTGATGTTCCCGGTTACCGGCGGCATACAAGTGTTCCCGCCGGCCACCGGTCGGTGCGCAGGCACGCGGATGACCCCGACGGGATTAGGCCCGCTCACATTGACCCCCACGTTCATGTGATAAGACCCAACGAGTGAAGTGCCGTTGCAGTTATATCCGGCGTTCGTGCACGCGAAGCCATTGTTGGCGTTGCCGTTGTAAACCGGGTGTCCGTAATCCGGCTCGTGCATCCTCGCAGTCAGCATGCAACTCTGATCCGCGCTGCAAAGAATCTGGTCGATTCCGAAACTGATGGACTCTTGCGCGTGCTGCTGCTGCAGATGTGCCCCCGCTAGTCCCATGTGATCCATGGCCTCCACGCATCGGCGCGGTGACCATGCGTTGCTCCAACCGGACTCCCAAAAGTGAGCCCCGGCCTTCTTCTCCAGCCGTTATCAAGCGAGTGCGGCCGCACGTGTCTGCAACATCCAGACAGGCTTCTTCATCGGACCGCAAGTACCTGTGTGTGTGTGTGTGTGTGTGTGTGTGTGTGTGTGTGAGAGAGAGAGAGAGAGAGAGAGAGCGTGTTTTCACAACCAATTTCTTTTCCAACTGCATTTTATGGAACTATGGTGCTCGAGAATTAAGTATAAACAACAACACAACTCAATTTCCATATTGTGAAACACATTTACCAACCGAGACACGTAACATTCAGGAAAATAAAATAAAAATTCCATTCATGCGTTGTTTATGCCGCTTGTCCGTATTATAGAATCGCAGGTGAGCTGCAGTCTTTCCCAGCTAACTTTGTTCTGGAGATAAGGGTCAACCTTAGACTGGTCACAGAGCAGATATCGATAAATGACTCACACCTATGGAGAATATTCGAATATTTTGAATAAAGCAAACATGAATGTTTTGGAATGTTGGGGGAATCCATTTTCATTTTCAGGATCACAGGAAGCTGGAGTCTATTCCAGCTGACATCAAGTGCAACCTGAGACAAGTCACCAGTTAATTACAGGGCTCATAGACAATCATTAATTCATATTCACATTCACTCTGGCGCAAAGTTGAAAATGAACCCAGGTTAACTGGAAAGGGGACATTCTAGTGACTAAACTGCAAATCATCATCATTAAAAAAAAACAAAAAAAAAACTTGATAGCAATTGGGACAGATTTATTTTTTGTAAAAAAACATGGAGATGGTTAATGTTTTCAAGTTCCTGACTAAGCTCAAAATCAGTCAGTATTGATAGAAGTTGAAACATCTTTACATAATTGTTTTGCTTATTATTCTTCTAAGCTATTGTTGAATTGATCTACCAGGGATAAATCCAACAATATGAATCTCTGCAAAATGAGTGATGTTTATTAGGTCATTTCGTGGAGCAGTTTCTATTAATAATTCATGTTCAGAGGGATGGCATTGATATGAACGCTGATATGCTTTTTTCATTTGTTACAGAGGGGGTAGAATTTGTGTTCGATGCTGGAATGTTTTTGTTTTATGGATTCTTTGCAGAGCTAAAACCAACCACGGGTCTAACAATACTCATCCATTACAACTGTTGTATTAATATTAATGAGTAGAGTACATGCAATGATGAATTGTACCTTTCCATTCAATAGATATTCATTGGAATAAAAGTAATGGCTTTTTAATCGCAGTTCATCAAAAACACTTGTATTATTGCAAATGTGGAGAGGTGCCAATAACTTTCCAGAAATAAACATACCAACTCACACAACAACCGCATGAAAAATAAAATGACCCACTGATCTTCTCTCCCGCTCGCAGCCTCTCGGGCTTAATTACTTAACACAGGGCATTAGGATATTAATATTTCATCTCTTTTAAATGGTCCTCATTGGTCAAACAACCGACATCAAATTTTAATAGGAGCATTGCTATGATGCAGACCATAATGATGATTGGGGAGAGCAGTTGCAAAAACATTGAAATACGATGCAGGACTGGGTTGCCCATTGGATTCACAATCCAGAGTGGAGATTTCACAATTCCACATATTTTGAATATGCAGGTACTGATTTTTTTTTTTAACCTTCGTGTACATAATTTCTACCGCTCACCTCTCAGGGTTCTATGTCGTGAGAGAGCGCAAATGCTGGCATATCATGATTGTTGGATCAGGCTCACTGGGCTTTTTTTTTTGTTTGCCAATTAGTCTCCGGCAAGCTGGACATTCCGACGCAGTGAGGGTGTGTCTTTGAAGATGTACTCGAAGTGACAATGTGGTGGTAGAAAGTCACTCGAAATGTATACCTGCTGAGATCAGGTCTAAATATTAGTACAGCTTGAGTAACGTGATTGTGATGAACTGGAACGGGGCACAGGAAGAAAGACTCTGACCTGCGCGGGCATGTGTGGTGGATGTCAGATGTATTTTATTCATAAATATGTGAAGAGCGGGCATAAAACCTGTGGATTCATTCTATTTTATTTTATTTAAGGTCGGCACAACTAGGGGAAGCAGGCCACATGAACCCAGTGCCCACTTCATGATGCAGATGTGCTTCCGCCATGTTGAGACTGTGGCGCACTCCAAGGGTTCTGCATTTCGGGAATGAAAGAAGCCACTTTGATTGGCAGTGAATGAAGTCAGCTGTGAACATTCCCAGAGCAGCGCATCCCTCCCTCTCACAGATCTGTCGGCCGTGCTTCTCTGTCAAATTACCAAGACCGGGTCTAACTTGTCTCTGCGCAAAAAAGTTACTCCGGATTTATGCTCTTATAGTCTCCTAAAATGCATGTTTTCAGAATCATTTAGGAGTAATTAGAGTAAAGACATGGGAAGAACAGACAAACTCCAGACAGATTCTTTTGAGTTGAGATTAAAACTCAGAATCGCCTGGCTGTCATGAAGACGTGCTAACCATATAGCGCATACCAATGCGTTTCTCTTCTGAAAAAAACCCAAAACAAAACCCAGTGATTTAGGTGAACCTTTGCATAAGATTGCCTCCCGAGGTGACCTGAGGTTGACCAATGAGGTCAAGCACTACAGAAAATGGCTGTTGGATGTCATTAGCTATTTTACGACGAGAAAGCTTCATCATGCTGAAATTTTAATCTTTTGTAGAATTACTGCATAAAACTGTAATTCGAGCTTCTCCATTCTACCATGCAATAAAAAAAACATGACAAAAGAAAAATAGAGTTAAGTAGGTCACTGATTTTCTGTTCTCATCTCTGCTCTATAGTAGTTAATCCCCTTCCATCCCAAATTCATCCAATTATGCTTCACAAAATACCAAAACTTATTTTGTATTAATCGATTAGTATTGTGTCGGTTCAGGGTTTATTGGCCAACTCAAAGCTATGCTGGCAGTCTACGGACAAACACTGGATCAGATTAGTGTGTGTTAATGTGTTGACACACATCCACACAGCTTCACCAGACTCTCCGGTGTTTGTATTGAAGCAATGTTGTAGTTCCTATGCTGTTTTTCCCCCTCCTTCTGAAGGAGTGTGGTGGGTTCTACCTGCAGAGTCCTTGACTCTTGACCTCCAAATCTCTGGCGCCAGGTCTGTCAGCAACTCACTACACTTTCCATTACCACTGACTGCAATGTGAGGTTTTAACCTCTTGGAGCACTTAAATGCTCCTCTTCAGAGAAGAATGAAATGGCTTATTTAAAAGATTTGCACATTACAATTCTGAATCTATATATAGGCGGTGAAATGGAGGGTTGTGGTAAATTGGGAGGCCCGAGATGAAAGTTTTGTGAAATAATAAAATACAGTACAACACATCCTTTATTTATGTAGCGCTTTCACAACAGCTGCAGCTGTAACAAAGTGCTTTCCACAGCATTTTACATAAAATAACAACAATAACACATTACAAAAACATCTACAACAATGCAATCATAACAACTATTCCTATGTACGCTTAGAAACAAAAACTGAGCTGACTTAAGGGAAAGAGGTGGGATACACCCAGGATTGGTCACTTGTCAATCACTGGACACAAATAGACAAACAACCATTCATATTTACAAACTTTGTGGGTAAACCTAAAAACAATGAATCCAAGTCTGGTGGTTGACTGGTTAGCGTGTCGGCCTCACAGTGCAAAGGTGCAGGGTTCGATTCCGGCTCCGACCTTCCTGTGTGGAGTTTGCAAGTTCTCCATGGGTTTTCTCCGGGTACTCCGGTTTTCTCCCACATTCCAAAGACATGCATGGTAGATTAATGGAACACTCTAAATTGTCCCTCAGTGTGAGTGTGAGCACGGATGTGTACCCTGCAATTGGCTGGCAGCCAGTTTAAGGCAGCTGACATTTCTTTATCAATGAAAATACAAACTACAGAGAGCAGGGCTGGATGTAGAAGGCATGAAAGAGATTTGACACTCAGACTGGGAGAAAGCTCGACGTACTGACATGTCACTGAGTATCTGTCCATCCATTCATTTTCTAATCTGCTTATCCTCTTAAGGGTCGTAGGAGTGCTGGAGACTATCCCAGCTGTCTTCAGGTAGTAGGCGGGGAACACCCTGAACTGCTTCCCAGCCCATGGCAGCCCATCCATATGTAGCTCCCGCAGGATGTAGCATGAAGCATGACACAAAGCCCATAAAAATACAGGGTTTATTCATTGGCAAGCCGTGACAAATGGTCACGAACGCAGACCTGAAACATATAAATACTGGCATAACAAAAAAATTAATGAAAGACAAACGTTATGAAGACAACTGATTCAACAAAAAGACATACAAACCTCGTGGGCTCACATCGACAAGGGGCTAAATATCCTTAGCAGTCTTGCCTGTCTCCTTCCTTCATTTAGCATATTGGTGTCAAACATACGGCCCGAGGGCCGGAACCGGCCCCCAAGGAGGTTCAATCAGGCCCGCAGGATAATTTAAAAGTGAAAAAATGCATACAAGACACGGAATTAATATTTTCAATAAAATTCATGGAGTATCCGCTATGGGACACACTATTTTGATCAGAATAGAAGACAATATTGTTTTGATCAGAGAAGAAGACAAAAGCAGCCTCAGTCTGTCACTGAGACAGACCCAACACAGCAGACGCTATCAAGGACATGTGAATACTTTATTCTTTACACATTTAATAGCACTCTCCGTAGTTTGTAAGGGGTGGGCAGGGATTACATTTAGATTTCATATGCACATGTGTAAATGGTTTAAAAATTCCTTTCTTTATAAATCTTGTTTAATCTTAAAATGCATAACTATAGTTTTCAATACCATATTACCTGTTAAAGTCTTGTGCATTTGTGCAATCAGTGGGATCCGTTGCAATGCATATATGTAAATGATAAAAGTAAATTGCACATTTGTCTAAGGAAATCTAAGGTGCTTCATGAAATGTTTTGTAAAAGATATGTTCATTAAATGTCAACATTTTCCTAATCTTCTTGTGC